TTTCCACTTCGACGTGATGCATGACTCAAGTATCTATCTTTCCATATCAAGATCGTAACTTTTGGACGTCGGGAACTCCTCCGCGCGCGGCCAAACTTCCGAAGCTTCGTTCTGCGCGCTAGCGAGAACTAACACTTGGAGATAAAATGATCTTCTTGACTTGGAAACTTGCATGGATCTTGATTTAGGGCTCTTTTACTCCTTTTTGCATCCTTTTTGATATTTCACCTACAAAGACTTCAAATCCCACAAATACAAGAAAACTACCTCTAAAGGCAAAGAATCTTGCAAAAACCGTTTGAAAACATAGTAAATATATAGTAAAATCATGTAAAATATGGTGATATCAACTCCCCCAGACTTAGCCTTTTGCTTGTCCCCAAGCAAACTAAGCAGGAAAAGAGGTTTGAAAACGTGAGAACTCTCAAATCTTTTGGAAATCCAAATTGACTTATGCTTTAGTAATCCACATGAAACAGCATTGGCAAGTTTTGAATTAAGAACAAAGTACATACCATGAGTTTTGCGATTTTCCCAAAGCGGTCCACCTCTCCTTGGACAATCCAATTCGCCACCCTTGACTCCTTTCATTTCTAAAGGTGTGGTCTCAACTAGGGAGTATCGATCAGCCGGCTTTTAGACTCTTACTCATCCCCTTGTTTGGCACTTGTCTTTTTACTCCATGTTTCTCCTCTCTCTCTTCTCACTTCTTTGAGTTGATTCATCCCTTTTTTAGGGTAGCGAAGTATTTTTTTATTCAACTCCTTCTCTTTATTATAGAGGTTTTGCTTGGATCTTCCACAGACGCGAGTATTGATGGTGTTTGCCACCGAATCCCCGGTTGCTTGGATTCATAGGCCTTCCATAGACGCGAGTATTGATGGTGTTTGCCACCGAATCCCCGGTTACTTGGACCTTACGCTTTTTCTTTTAAATTTGAAGGGGAGAGAGAGGGAAGCACGAACTCACTAAGACTTTTTCATTTGATGGAGAGGATGAGGAATCATGCCATTTGTATGCCAAGCCCCTAGCTGAGAAGATTAAGTTCATTAAGGGCGGAGTCAAAGATGGATCCTTCTCAAGTCTTTAGAGATGTAGGCGTTTTTGGTAGATCGATCAACTCATAGTGCACCTGTGGTAAGATGTATTGCCAAGAACTGCTCAATGGTCACTTAAACATTAGTACAATCATGGTTAGATCCAAGATAAGGTCATGATTCTCGACAAAAATTTTGACTCAATAAAAACGACTCGATAAAAAGGGAAAAATGCAAATGAAAACGCCAAAATGAACAAACATTGTTAGTAATCCCCCCAGACTTAACTTGCACCGTCCCGGTGAAATAAATCGGATTAAGAGAGGCATAACATGAAGTTCAAATGAAAAATTGAAAAGAAAAAGGTTTAGGATGATGTTACCAAATGTCGACCAATTTATAATGAAGATCAGTTCCGGTTTGGGTCATTTACACTTCTTTAGGCAATATTGGTCGGTGAGTTTTTAATTTCAGGCCTTGGTTTCCGCCGGTTTGTGTTTTGGCCGAGATTGGTATATTCGGTCGGCCAAAATGTGGTGCTGTGAACTACAGAACAAACCGTCAAAAATTTCATGACCTATATTGAAATTTCATCGACCAACCTGGTATTTTATGACCTCTGGTGAAGTTTGGGAGCATTTGTACGAGGATTGAGACTTCCTTCACAAAATGGTCAAGTCGGCTCCGGGAAGGAGTTTCCTTGGCCATGTGAAGTTTGGCTCGTTCCTTTTCGTTTCTTCCTGCATAAAAGTGTTAGTTAAGCTCAAAGAAGAGTTTTCCAACCGGTTGGCGCGCCTATGCCGTGATTTGGTTTTGTCGGCCATATTGCTTGCGCGCCATCGGCCAGAATGAGCTCCGTCGTCTATCTCATGATCCGTGATGATTTCTCCGTCCTATCTTTTGGATTTGCCGACCAAAATGTGATTTTATGGTCGCCTGTGAAGTTTGGTGGACTTTGGTCACGCCGTTTAGGAGTTGGCCGTAATTGGTCTCCTTGTGCGCGGTATGGCCGAGAGAAATGTCCTGGATTGAATTTCTTCAAATCCACTCGGGCCAATTGAGATTTTCTTCGACCGAATTGTTTTAATAACCCTCCTGTGTCATTCCCAAGTGGTGGCCGCCTTGTTTCGTGTGATGGCCTATGTATCTCCTTTTAACCTCCCTTTGGCCGCCATATGCATGTTGGTTTTGAGGTGGTTGATAGGTTTGCTTTATTTCTCCTTCCTGTCAAATGGTTAACTCCTTGCAAAACACTTGAAATCATGATTAGATGGTTTCTCAGATTGTGATCCTCAAGTGACCAACTTGAAGTTCACAATCCAAGAGATTAAAGCACAAACTATAAATTCTTATTTGGTCTTGGTCAATGATCCAAATTTCAAACTATAGTTCAATCTCTTGTAATTTCAGTGAGAAAATGAGTTTTGACAAGTGATTATGTATTCTTTCCAATCATCAAAAGTAAATCAAGTTAAACCATGAAATATATTTGATAAAGTGCAATGGTTTAAACGATTTTTCAAGTGAAGATCAAGAGTGATTAGAAATGAATACTAGGTGAGATTTACTTACCTTTTGGAAGAGAAACGCCTTGTACAAGGGTGGGCTCATTGGGTGGGACACTTCCATTGTTTGGTCTCCTTTGGGTCTTCATCCTAAGAAAATATTTTTGTATTTTTGTTTGATTTTTGAAAAACTCCTGCAAAATAGAAATAGATAGTTAAAAACCATATGGGTTGCCTCCCATAAAGCGCTTTTGTTTTAAGTCATTTAGCTTGACTCCTTTTCTTTCTTTCAATCGTGGTGAAGAGTGGCTGAAGGGCAAAGGATCCCTTTAGCTTCTCCATTCTCCGGTTCAGTGGCTTCTTGTGGTGGTGTTGTCGCGCCATGAGTCATCTCTCACATCATCTTTGAAAACCAATGCCTTGGGGAAAAGCTTCATAGTTCTCTCAAGCTTCTCTTCAATGGATTGGTCACCTTTAAGCTCCGAATCTTTTGGTGTAAAGATTCTTATCTTGTGAAAGAGATTAGGTGCACCATTAGTCTCCTCTTCAGCTCCATACTCGTCAAAGGTTGGAAGTGAGATGGAGTTGATTCCTTAAAGACATTTTCATGCCTCGGCTCCAATGTTTTCTTCTTCTCCTTTGGTTTTGGGTAGCGCTCACTCTCTCTTCTTTCTCCATGCAGCATAGCTTCTTTCTTGGTAATGAGAGTGGCTTCTTCTGGTGGTAGCTTGGTCGCACTTGGCACTGACCTGAAATTTACACTTGGGAAAAAGATATCTTGCCGGATGTGGCCAAAAGATAGATGATTCCCAAAGTAGTTTAGGACCGCTCCAGCTGTAGCAAGGAATGGGGTTCCAAGAATCAGTTGATTCCTCTTTGAGCCTTCCCAAATCATGACTTGAAAGTCAGTTGGGACGATCGACCCCCTATTTCCATCATGACATCTTCAAGCATTCCATAGGTTCCATGCACGATAGATCCGCGAACTCGACTCTTATCTTGGGGCTCTTGAATTCCTTGAATCCCAAATCTTTTGCAAGTGCAAGAGACATTAGATTAACATTAGCACCAGTATCACATAGGCAATCGTGGAGTTGAATGCCATTGATACTTGAAGTTATCACAAACTTCCCCGGATCTTCTTGTTTTTGTAGTGGCTTGCCTTCAAGTCTTCTCTTGTAAGCTCTTCTTGATTCCCAACTGTATCTCTCCGGTTTGTGCCTCTCCTTAGGCTCATTTTCTTCTTCTTCCCCTTGAGATAGTGTAGGAACAATAGTGCCATCTATAGATGAGACAACACTACAAAATTTTTGAGTGTTTACCTCATTTTGTTTCTTGGCCGCCTCGGCTGTTTGAGCGATTTGCACCTCAAGCTTTTGAACGTGAGTAGAGAGAGACCCAAACTTGCTGCTTAGATCACCAAACATGTGATCAAGCTTCTCATATAGGTTCTTGGTGATCAATCTCTGCTCCTCCATGTATTTCTTCAAGGCCACGTCAACCTTCTCTCCGGTTTGGGTTGGATTTGTTTCTTGAGAAAAAGTGAATGGTTGCTTCACTTGGTACATCCCTCTTGGATAGACTTGTTGTGGCTTGGATTGGTATTGGCCTCCTTGATACGCTCCTTGATTGGGGTAGACTTGGTCATTTGGATTCTCCACATTGTTGCTCCGGTATGATAGGTTTGGATGCGCGCGGAAATGGTGGATTGAATCCTCTATTCCCATAGTTTCCTCCAATGTAGTTGACTTCCTCTAGATTCTCTTCAGCGCCATCTCTCATGAAATCCATAAGAGTGTCTTCATTTGTGGCTAGGGCATCTTCAATGGCGTGAACTCCTTGTCGGCTTTTAAGTAGTTGTGAGACCATGTTCCTTAGCTCCGAGATTTGAGCTGATTCTGATGAGCTCGTGGTCTTCACGCTTCTATTGTAGTCAGGGCATGCATTGGCATCACTAGCAGCGAGATTCTCAATCAAAAGCTTAGCCTCCGGCACCGACTTGGTCATGAAATTACCATTGCTCGCGGTATCGAGAGAAAGCTTGTATTTATGATCAATCCCATTGTAAAAGATGTTCCAAAGGTTACCTTCTGAAAAGCCATGGTTAGGGCAGCTTCTTGTGTACTCCTTGAATCTCTCCAAAGCTTCATAGAATGACTCCATTGAATCTTGCTTGAAACCAGAAATCTTGCTCCTTATAGAGTTGGATCTTTGCTTAGTGTAGAATTGGTTCAAGAAAGCTCCCTTGTATTCATTCCATGTTGTAATGGACTGAGGTGGTAAAGATTTTACCCATCTTAGCGCCTTGTCACTTAGAGAAAAAGTGAATAGCTTGCACTTGAAGTAATCCGGCGATACTCCATTAACACGAGTTGTGCTACATATCTCCTCAAAGGTGTCGACGTGATCAAGAGGATGCTCAGTGGGCAAACCATGGAATTGGTTTTGCTTCACCAAGGCAATGATCTGCGGTTTGATCTCAAAATCGTTCCTTGGAGGTAGAGGCGGTCGGATTGGATTCCGATCCATAAAGAAAGCATCGGACGAATCAAAGTCTCCCATAGTTTGGTGCCTTGGATGCTGCGCGTTTGGCACTCTCCTTGGAGGTGCGTGAGGTTGGTCTTGAGGCATCCCTTGGTTGTCACCGTGACGATGATGTCCATTTGCAAACGCCGGTGGTGGTCGCGGCGGGTTAAGAGGTGGCTGTAGCGGCTCAGCTGCATCGGGCGCGTTCGGATTGGGCGGAGGAACGTCTCTGGCCGGTGCTGGCTGGTCAGCTCTAGCTTCTGCTGGATTAGGAGGATCATTGGCTCTCCTCTCTTGGTCGGGCGGGTTGTGTGGCCTATTTGGCGCGCCTTCTCCGCCTGGATTCATTCTTTCTCTTCTTAGTCGCCTAAGTGTGCGCTCAAGTTGGTCAATGTCAAGATCTTCTTCAATGGTTGTATTTGGATTGGACCTTCTTGTCATGCACCTTAGAAACACACAAAGAGAGAGAGTTAAGTAAAATTTTTATGAGTTTTTAAGATTTTATGAAAAACAAAAACAAAGAAAAGTGAAAGATGAGATGAGCTAGTCTTGAAATCAATCAAGAGGTGTGAAGGAAAAGCAACTCCTCCCCGGCAACGGCGCCAGAAAGCTTGATGGCGGGTTTAGATTGCCTCAAATTTTCACAATTTATAAACCCAACTAATGAGCTGCAAGTGCACAGCCGTGTTGTAGTCGGGGTCGAACACGAGGAGGAAGTGTTCTCACTTAACACCTTGTGAGATTGGTTTGTAGCTAGCTCGCAATATGAGGATGGTTTTGGACCTAGAATGAGAAAACAAAACAAAAGAAATGTGAAGTGAGTTTGTAAACAATTTAAAACAAGAGTTAGGCAAAGGACAATCATATGGAGCAATGATGAAAAGATAGTTGCATGGGATGTGTGTAGAGCCGTCTTGAACATGAATCACTAGTGTATGGTCTTTCCACTGTCGTGGCTCCAACCACTATGTTTAAAACAACCTAATATACTCAGCTTTCGTTGGCTATTAGAATTGCAAACATGCATTAAAGGTGATCAAGATTCAATTGTTCACAATAAACCATAACTCAGCTTTCGTTGGCTATGATCTATTGCTCACCAAATACTAGTTTTGAGATCTAGATTCAGCACTGTCGTGGTTCTATTTCTCTAAGATCAGATTACTAGATGTACGGTAGAGTAATCATGCATTAAGCTCAAGTAAAGGTGAAGATCCATAAGATAAATCCCAATAAGTTGCAACACAATCAAATCATCACGGCCACCATAGATCTCCTCGGCCTAACTAAGAGATCTACTCGGCCATGATGCAAACAAGCAAGCAAAGCATGATTGTAAACATTATGCAAGTATTAAAAGAGATAAAGGGATGAAGAAAGCTTCTCTATTGATGAACAAAGTCGGATTCTCCCTTGAAAACTCTTAAATCAAGTTTATAGAAATGGAAACAATGAAAAAGAAAGAACAAGAGTTGAGCGGCGCCTCCTTCTTCTTGGACGATCTCCTAGGGCTTCTCTCCTCTGAACTCTCTTCTCACACGTACACTCTTTGATAATTTTCGGACTCGACTCTCTTCTTCAGCGGCTAAAAACATGTATATATGGGCGAAGTCGCGTAGGGTTTTCTTCATGCCGGAAAAGGAAAGTTTCCCGTGAGCAAAGCCTTCTTCTCCACGTCGTGTATGGGCCGACATTGTACCAAGGAAAGCTCCAAACATTAGCCAGGCCTCTTCTCTATTCGATCAAGGCCTTTGGCGCTGCTGCTCGGGCCATTAGACACTCCAAATCCTCCATGGGCTTCGTTTGCTCGCTTACCGGACATGTCTCGGTAGAAAATAAGTCTAGGCCTCATAGTTGATCCAAATGGCTTCATTCCACTTCGACGTGATGCATGACTCAAGTATCTATCTTTCCATATCAAGATCGTAACTTTTGGACGTCGGGAACTCCTCCGCGCGCGGCCAAACTTCCGAAGCTTCGTTCTGCGCGCTAGCGAGAACTAACACTTGGAGATAAAATGATCTTCTTGACTTGGAAACTTGCATGGATCTTGATTTAGGGCTCTTTTACTCCTTTTTGCATCCTTTTTGATGGTTTCACCTACAAAGACTTCAAATCCCACAAATACAAGAAAACTACCTCTAAAGGCAAAGAATCTTGCAAAAACCGTTTGAAAACATAGGTAAATTATATAGTAAAATCATGTAAAATATGGTGATATCACATATACATACTTGTATCTCCTTTCACCCTTTTTACCACTCTTGTTGATACAAGTAGATTTCCCCACCCTTAACCAACAATTCCTTGAAACCAAAATGCTTTTTCTGAGTGTGAGGCCCTTTTTGGGTTAAGCTTGGTAGAAAGTGTTGGGTTTAAACCGACAAGGTCTAGCTTCCCATGTAGTTCTAGCTCACCTCTTTTGAGCTAGTTAGGACTAAGTTTGGGGGATTTACATTTGGGGTTTGGGGCTGTTCAGAAAAGTGATGAGTTGTAAAAAGAGAAGAAAGAAGAAAAAAAAGACAAGTCTCTTAGGTGGGAAGAGTCAAAAAGTTTAAGTCTGTAGTAAAGGTTTGGGGTTTAAAAAGAAAAAAGAGCTCTAAGTAGAAAAACAAAAGAAAGGCAAAATGCCTTAGATATCCAAAAAAAATAAAAAATAAAAAATTGAGCCAAAAGAAAAGAAACCTAAACCACTAGATGAGTTTAGAATCCTCTCCTAAGGGCTTATAAAAGGGAAAGAAAAAGGGAAAATCCCAAAGTGTTCTAATGGGTAGATATGATTCTGGGGTAAAAGGAGCTTTATTCATGTTTACTTGGATAGATGGGATTCTAGTCTTGTATCATATTTGGTCTTTACCCTTAGCATTCTACTAAAGCTTAACCTTTTTCATTGAGAGATCCCTTATTCCTAATTATGAAAACTAGATAAAGAGGGACCATTCTTGTCTCTTAAACCTTTCCCATAAGCCAAATGAGTTAATTGATTTGCATAGTTTGATTCATGGTTCTAACTCAATGAATGTTAAAGGGATTGGTTGATTTGAATGCTTGTCTAGGTTGAGTATGAAGTTGAATTTTGTTGTGAAGGGCATGGCTAAGATTTTTTGAAGTAGAACTCACACACACATTGCATTTTAGAATTAATAACTTGGGCATTGATTTGATCTTCTTTATCAACATGTTTTGATCTTGAGTTCCCACCTTCAAACCTCTTGTCCTTCTTGTTGAATTGCTTGAGGACAAGCAAAATGCAAGTTTGGGGGAGTTGATATACTCATATTTTAAATGTTTTAAGCGTTATTTTCTCTTAGTTTTTGCTTCCATATGTATAATTCTATCCCATTTAGTCTAGTTTACATTCACTTTAGAGTTTTGTAAGTTTTAGCTAGGACATTGCATACATGGAGCATTTGGAGTTGTAAACAGGTGCTTTTAGATGATTTGGGATGCATTTGGATGATGAGGGAGTTTGATGGAGCGAGGAAAGATCAAAACGGATGGAAGGTAAGAAGCAAGGAGAGTTCCTCTGTTTTTCCAGCGACAATCAGGATGTCAATCAGGTTAAGGAAACCTGATTCTCGCCTTTCAGCTGACTGTTGACCAAGAGGATGAGTTGACCCGTGTTGACCACGCTTTGACTGAGCTTTGACCACGCCTTAGCTGTCTTGAACCAAGGCTAAACCACTAGGAAGGAGGCCCAAACCATTTTGAAGACCTAGCCAAAAGAAAAGTCAATATTAATGAGTTGACCAAGAGTTTTATGTCTCCACTATAAATACATTAAATACCTAATTTGTTAGGCATGTTGTAATCTCTTTCTCTTAGATAAAAACTCTTTCCTCTTTTGTTCTTAATAAAAATTTGGATCTTTTATGAGTTTAATCTATTTGAGAGTGTTTGCTTGATCATTCTTTCTCCCTTTATCTTCCTAATCTTCATCTTCCTAATCATGATTATCAACTACCTTTTCCTTGGGCTTCTTGATTTAATCATGATTAGGGAGTAATTTTCTTAGGGTTTAAGGTTGGGTTAGATTTAGAGAGACTTGATGGTTAATCATTGATGTTTAGGTTTGGGTTTGCTTAACCATTTCTTGTTTAGTGATCTTAATGCTAGATTAGCTTTGAGAAAAGTGATTTAGATCAAAGGGCATTTCACACCCACAAGGTGTTTGATGAAATGTCCCAACCAACTAAATCAAGAGATTTACATTCTTAGCTCATGATAATGATTGTTTAAGATGTTTATTGGCTTAATAAAACTTGTTTATAATGCTTGCTAAATTCGAATTTCACTAATGATGATTAGTTATTGAAATTTGTAATTAGCAAAGTGATTAGTTCCATGAGAGTGGATTAATCTTGTTTGATATATTCTTGCCTAAGGATTAGCATTCTCTTGATTGTTTGAGAATTATAGATTAGTCATAGAGTCTCTCTAGTTCAATGATCCCAACCTAAGACTCATTTGCTTTGCTTGTTTTACTTCCTTTATTTTCGTTCGTGTACTTGTCTCTTGAGTTTTGACTTCTTGTTTCAAGCTTTTGCTTAAACTCTACGTTTTATTCTCATTTAGGTTGCTAGATAAAAAACCTTCTTTGATTTTGCTTAGCTTAATAATTTTCATGCATTCTTAGTGTTTTAATCTTAACCCTTTTGGATTGATACCTCAAATGCTACAATGACATGAGTAGTGGATTTGAGTAATTGGTAGCAAAAATCCGACTATCAGCATCTCCTTAGATTTATCTTCTTTTTCTTTCCCTTGAGATAGTGTAGGAACAAGCTGGCTCTCCTTAGATGAGACAACACTACAAAAGTTTTGAGGGTTTACCTCATGTTGCTTCTTGGCCGCCTCGGCTGTTTGAGCGAAGCCACGTCAACCTTCTCTCCTTGTTGAGCCGAACTAGCTTCTTGAGAAAAAGTGAACGGCTGTTTCACTTGGTACATCCCTCTGGGGTAGACTTTTTGTTGCTTAGATTGGGGTAGACTTGATCATTGGGATTCTCCACATTGTTGCTACGGTATGATAGGTTTGGATGAGCTCTAAAAGGTTGATTGAATCCTCTATTCCCATAGTTTACTCTAATACAGTTGACTTCCTCTTGGTTCTCCTCAGTGGCATCTCCCATAAACTCCATGAGAGTGTCTTCATTGGTGGCCAGGGCATCGTCAATAGCATGAACTCCTTGTCGGCCTGTAAGTAGTTGTGAGACCATATTCTTTAGCTCCAAGATTTGAGCTGGTTCTGATGTGCTGATGATAGGATTTTACGTGGATGTGATTGATATGAATGAAGGATGATAGAAATGAGGTGGAATGCAAACAGGGGTGAATAAAGATGAATGGTATGGTGCAATCACAATCAATCAATTCCTCTTAACCATCATAGTCATTGAAGTATAAGAGGTTATCAATCCAAAATGGGAAACTTGTCACTCTTTGAGAATATGAAACAACAAGAAAGTCAAGCAAGCAGTTATAGATTTGAAGTAACACTAACAACCTAAAAAATGAAAAGCAGTGCAATAAAAGTAAACAAAGCAGTGAAGTCAGCTCGACCAAGAGCTCGAGTCGAGCAGAGCAAAGTACCAGCTCGATCGAGTTTAGGGACGAGTTGAGACAAACAAAGCTAAAGGTGACGACTTTAACAAGATAAAGAGAGAATTAGGGTTCAAGACAGGGTTTTGCAATCAAAGGAATCTACACTTAATCAATCTAGCTCTTAAAACTCCTTGTATCAAGGCTTCTCTTGATATTGGGCTTCTCAATGCCTAGCCAACCCTTTCCCAAGGTGAAGGCTATCAACCAAGGAATGATCTCAGAAACAGGGGGTTAGCCAGTGAGAATCAAACCTTGGAGGCTATAGGATCATTGCCCAAACTAATCCATCCAACCCCTTAGACCTCTATTGTCTAGAGCAAGAGATATTGGAGCTCTTAGTGGATCTTTTCCAGCGAATGCCATCACTTTCGTGTGGGGATCGCCTAAGGACTTACAAGCCAGGGGTAGTGGTCATGTAGCCTTAAGATCTATCCAAAAGAGAGAGAATCTAGATTAAGACCATAAGCTAGAAGGATTAAGCATATGAAACCTCTAATCTATCCCATCTCAAACCCCAATGGGTAACTACTCACTACACATGAATGTAAACACAAGCAAATGCAATAAAAGAGACATCATAAGAAAGAGGAGATGAAATTAAACAACTTTTATTGAAATAAGCAAGTGCAAATACAAAGAAGATTAATCCAGGATCTAAGATTCAAGAAGCAAGAGCTTCAAGAACACAAAGATGGATTAGAGTTCTAAAAAGTAAAAGACAATAAATTAAAGAAAGCTAAAACAAAAATAATCTAAAGCTTGGTGGTTTTTTCGTGGCTTAGAGCCTTTAAATACAAGAGGATTAGGTTTAGGGTCAAAGGAAAGTCAAGGGGGAAGCAACATTTTTCGGGTTTGACTTTGACTTCTCAGCTCGATCGAGTTGAAGCTTGGCCGGTCGAGTTGAGGAACTCGACCGGTTGGTCGAGTAGACGGTCGAGCTGGTCTTCAAGATGGCTTCTCCCTTCTTCCTTTGCGTATCCAGTTGAGCTGCGTCCATGTGCCAAGTCCCTCCATGCTCCTCATGTCCCATATGCTCCAGAATGCTCCAAAAGACCTATTTCAAAGGACCAAACATGCATATGTATGCAAATGCAACCTAAAACTAACATGAATGCATAAGAAGAGAAAAGGAACAAGATATGATGCAAATGGAAGCTAAAACTATGCAAAAGATGCATAAAAGATGTGCTAAAACTATGTAAAATGCAAGTACATCAACACCCCCAAACTTGAACTTTGCTTGCCCTCAAGCAAACAAATAGAACAAGAAAGAGATGAGGTTTGAAAAAGCTGATTCAACACTTAAAAACATGTCCTCAAAAGCGATTTGCTAAATGTCCAACTTAGAGATTCTAGAATGCAACAAGGTGAGAGATATTCATTAAGATTTAACCATGCTTATCAACATCAATCCCACTTCACAGTCACTCAAACAATGCATTCAAATCAGCAAATCCCTTTAACATTCATTAAGCAAAAACAGTGAACCAAAAACATGCAAGATCAATCAACTCATTTGGTTTCAAGGGTTTATGGGTTAAGAGACAAAGAGGGTCTCTTTTGTATGGTGGTTTAGTAACAGGGATCTCTCAAGAAAGTGGCTTTGCTTTGGCAGAAGGCTAAGTGTTAGAACCAAAGATGATGCAAGAACAGCAGCTCGAGCCGCCTAATCCTAACTCGATCGAGTTCAACACTTAGAGCTTTTTAGAACAAAATCCTAACTACCCTTTTTGGCATTTCGCCTTTGAAACTGAGGAGCTTTGCTCACTTTTCTTTTAAGAACTTCCTAGGGAGAGGCTTCTTGAGGTAACATCTAGCGGTTTGGGATTTTCTAAACACTTAGGGAACTTTTCTTTCCTTTTTGGACACTTGAGGCTTTGCCTTCTTTTCATTCTACTTAGAACCCTTTTTACTTCCTTTTTTAACTTCCCAAACCTTTACTAGACCCTTTTTAACACTGCCAACTCCCTGGACTTAACCAAACTCTTTTTCCTTTGGGTTTTTCCCAATTTTTACCACTTTTCTGGTTTTTACACCCAACTCGATCGAGCTCGAGTTGGCACCCCCAAACTTAGCCTGAAAACAATCCCAAGAGAACTAGACAACTAGAACTACTGCCCCTGCCGGTTTAAACACAACACCTTATGCTAAGCAAAGCCAAGAAAGGTTCTCACATTCGCACAAGAGATAATATGGGGTTTGAAATGAAAAGGCTTAGGTTTAAGGTGTGGTAACTGTCTCAAAGATAGAGATCAGCTATCTGGACAAGCAAAAGGGATATGAAAATAGGTAAAGAATGTCCAGATATGTATGTGGTAGCCATGAGTTGAAATCAAATGCAAGCATTGGTAATTAAAGATCAAGTTATGGTTCAAATAGATAGGGAAATGCATCAAATCACAGCAATGGTTGAATGAGATGTGCATGCAGTGATATGATCAAGATAAACATGGTTCTTGCTGCTCAATCAATCTCACCCTAATGCACAAGAGAATCTAAAAACAGGGCACTCAAGAAATCGCAAAAGATGGACAAGTTTTCAAAGTCAAATCAACAATGCAAGTGAAAAATGCAATCCTAAACAAGTCTAACAAATATGAATGCAAAAAGATGAAAATATTTTTGGATTTTTTGAAAATTTTATGATTTTTTTGGTTTTTCTATGCAAAAGATAAATGAAAAACTAAGAACAAAGAAAACAAGGTTAAATCATCTCTTGAACCCTCCCCCAAACTTAAATCACACAGTCCCTTGTGTGAGAAAAATTTAGTGAAAGATTCAAGAGGGCAAAACCAAGAAAAAACAAGAACAAATGCAAGAAAATATGAAATGGTATATACAAGGGTTGGTGTTTGGATACCTCAGTGCCCCCCAAAGAACTGGGAGACTAGGTCGTGGTCTGGAGATGGTAGACGGCCATCAGGAGCACTCCACTCGACTGGGTTCGGCTCACTCGATCGAGCTTGTGGCTCCTCTTCTTCCTCTTCTTCATCGTTGAAAGTGTGTGGCTCCTTGGCCTTGGTGGAGCTGGCTTGCTCGAACGGTTGTAGGGGTCCAGGGTCTGAGAGAAGTCCTGGTACTGCGTTGATCGTACTCGAATCCCGGTTCTCAAACAGGGGCTCCTCCAGGTCAACTCGACCCTCAGCGATCGAGTTGAGTTTCCTCTGTTTGGACTCGATCGAGTTGGAGCTGGAGCGTCTGGCCTTGGAACTCTTCCTCCTTCTCTGCGAGTTGTCTTCTCCTTCCCTTGGCTCGAATGAAGAGGCTCTGTGAGGCTCTTGGGCAGGGAGCCTCCTTGGAGTGGTGAGGAGTGATCTACTCCTAGGGGTGGGAGCTTGGACTTCTTCTTCTTGCTTGAAGAACCAGAACTTTCTTCTCCAAACTCTTGATCTTGCTCACCATCTTGTCCATGGACTTTTGCATCTTTCCATGGCTTTCCCTTGCCACTTGTTGAACCTTTGGAGAAGTCCAATCCTCTTGTGGGCAGCCACAACAGAGGGGTTCATCCTTGGAGCCTCATACTCCTCAAAATCGTAGCACTCAGGCTCACCCAAATCCGCATTCTCCTGGACTCGATCTTCAGCTTGAGACTCAGCTCGATCCTCAACTCAAACAGGGGTTAGTAAAGATGAAATGGTGCAATCACAATCAATCAATTCCTCTTAACCATCATAGTCATGAAGTATAAGAGGTTATCAATCCAAAATGGGAAACTTGTCACTCTTTGAGAATATGAAACAACAAGAAAGTCAAGCAAGCAGTAATAGATTTGAAGTAACACTAACAACCTAAATAAATGAAATGCAGTGCAATAAAAGTAAAAAGCAGTGAAGTAGCAGCTCGACCAAGACTCGAGTCGAGTCAGAACAAAGTACCAGCTCGATCGAGTTTAGGGACGAGTTGAGACAAACAAAGCTAAAGGTGACGACTTTAACAAGATAAGAGAGAATTAGGGTTCAAGACAGGGTTTTGCAATCAAAGGAATCTACACTTAATCAATCTAGCTCTTAAAACTCCTTGTATCAAGGCTTCTCTTGATATTGGGCTTCTCAATGCCTACCAACCCTTTCCCAAGGTGAAGGCTATCAACCAAGGAATGATCTCAGAAACAGGGGGTTAGCCAGTGAGAATCAAACCTTGGAGGCTATAGGATCATTGCCCAAACTAATCCATCCAACCCCTTAGACCTCTATTTCTAGAGCAAGAGATATTGGAGCTCTTAGTGGATCTTTTCCAGCGAATGCCATCACTTTCGTGTGGGGATCGCCTAAGGACTTACAAGCCAGGGGTAGTGGTCATGTAGCCTTAAGATCTATCCAAAAGAGAGAGAATCTAGATTAAGACCATAAGCTAGAAGGATTAAGCATATGAAACCTCTAATCTATCCCATCTCAAACCCCAATGGGTAACTACTCACTACACATGAATGTAAACACAAGCAAATGCAATAAAAGAGACATCATAAGAAAGAGGAGATGAAATTAAACAACTTTTATTGAAATAAGCAAGTGCAAATACAAAGAAGATTAATCCAGGATCTAAGATTCAAGAAGCAAGAGCTTCAAGAACACAAAGATGGATTAGAGTCTCTAAAAAGTAAAAGACAATAAATTAAAAGAAAGCTAAAACAAAAATAATCTAAAGCTTGGTGGTTTTTTCGTGGCTTAGAGCCTTTAAATACAAGAGGTTTTAGGTTTAGGGTCAAAGGAAAGTCAAGGGGGAAGCAACATTTTTCGGGTTTGACTTTGACTTCTCAGCTCGATCGAGTTGAAGCTTGGACCGGTTGGTCGAGTAGACGGTCGAGCTGGTCTTCAAGATGGCTTCTCCCTTCTTCCTTTGCGTATCCAGTTGAGCTGCGTCCATGTGCCAAGTCCCTCCATGCTCCTCATGTCCCATATGCTCCAGAATGCTCCAAAAGACCTATTTCAAAGGACCAAACATGCATATGTATGCAAATGCAACCTAAAACTAACATGAATGCATAAGAAGAGAAAAGGAACAAGATATGATGCAAATGGAAGCTAAAACTATGCAAAAGATGCATAAAAGATGTGCTAAAACTATGTAAAATGCAAGTACATCAACACCCCCAAACTTGAACTTTGCTTGCCCTCAAGCAAACAAATAGAACAAGAAGGGATGAGGTTTGAAAACGAGCTGATTCAACACTTAAAAACATGTCCTCAAAAGCGATTTGCTAAATGTCCAACTTAGAGATTCTAGAATGCAACAAGGTGAGAGATATTCATTAAGATTTAACCATGCTTATCAACATCAATCCCACTTCACAGTCACTCAAACAATGCATTCAAATCAGCAAATCCCTTTAACATTCATTAAGCAAAAACAGTGAACCAAAAACATGCAAGATCAATCAACTCATTTGGTTTCAAGGGTTTATGGGTTAAGAGACAAAGAGGGTCTCTTTTGTATGGTGGTTTAGTAACAGGGATCTCTCAAGAAAGTGGCTTTGCTTTGGCAGAAGGCTAAGTGTTAGAACCAAAGATGATGCAAGAACAGCAGCTCGAGCCGTCTAATCCTAACTCGATCGAGTTCAACACTTAGAGCTTTTTTAGAACAAAATCCTAACTACCCTTTTTGGCATTTCGCCTTTGAAACTGAGGAGCTTTGCTCACTTTTCTTTTAAGAACATCCTAGGGAGAGGCTTCTTGAGGTAACATCTAGCGGTTTGGGATTTTCTAAACACTTAGGGAACTTTTCTTCCTTTTTGGACACTTGAGGCTTTGCCTTCTTTTCATTCTACTTAGAACCCTTTTTACTTCCTTTTTTAACTTCCCAAACCTTTACTAGACCCTTTTTAACACTGCCAACTCCCTGGACTTAACCAAACTCTTTTTCCTTTGGGTTTTTCCCAACTTTTACCACTTTTCTGGTTTTTACACCCAACTCGATCGAGCTCGAGTTGGCACCCCCAAACTTAGCCTGAAAACAATCCCAAGAGAACTAGACAACTAGAACTACTGCCCCTGCCGGTTTAAACACAACACCTTATGCTAAGCAAAGCCAAGAAAGGTTCTCACATTCGCACAAGAGATAATATGGGGTTTGAAATGAAAAGGCTTAGGTTTAAGGTGTGGTAACTGTCTCAAGGATAGAGATCAGCTATCTGGACAAGCAAAAGGGATATGAAAATAGGTAAAGAATGTCCAGATATGTATGTGGTAGCCATGAGTTGAAATCAAATGCAAGCATTGGTAATTAAAGATCAAGTTATGGTTCATATAATAGGGAAATGCATCAAATCACAGCAATGGTTGAATGAGATGTGCATGTAGTGATATGATCAAGATAAACATGGTTCTTGTTGCTCAATCAATCTCACCCTAATGCACAAGAGAATCTAAAAACAGGGCACTCAAGAAATCGCAAAAGATGGACAAGTTTTCAAAATCAAATCAACAATGCAAGTGAAAAATGCAATCCTAAACAAGTCTAGCAAATATGAATGCAAAAAGATGAAAATATTTTTGGATTTTTTGAAAATTTTATGATTTTTTTGGTTTTTTCTATGCAAAAGATAAATGAAAAACTAAGAACAAAGAAAACAAGGTTAAATCATCTCTTGAACCCTCCCCCAAACTTAAATCACACAGTCCCTTGTGTCAGAAAAATTTAGTGAAAGATTCAAGAGGGAAAAACCAAGAAAAAACGAGAACAAATGCAAGAAAATATGAAATGGTATATACAAGGGTTGGTGTTTGGATACCTCAGTGCCCCCCAAAGAACTGGGAGACTAGGTCGTGGTCTGGGGATGGTAGATGGCCATCAGGAACACTCCACTCGACTGGGTTCGGCTCACTCGATCGAGCTTGAGGCTCCTCTTCTTCCTCTTCTTCATCGTTGAAATGTGTGTGGCTACCTTGGCCTTGGAGGAGCTGCGCTTGCTCGAAGCAGTTGTAGGGAGTCCAGAGAGTCTGAGAGAAGTCCTGGTACTGCGTTGAATCGTACTCGAACCCAAGGTTCTCAAACAGGGGCTCCTCCAGGTCAACTCGACCCTCAGCTCGGTCGAGCTCGCTGATCGAGTTGGAGCGTCGAGTTTTGGAACTCTTCCTCCTCCTCTGCGAGTTGTCTTCTCCTTCCCTTGGCTCGAATGATGAGGCCCTGTGAGGCTCGTGGGCAGGGAGCCTTCTTGGAGTGGTGAGGAGAGATTTACTCCTTGGTGGGAGTCTTGGACTTCTTCTTCTTGCTTGAAGAACCAGAGACTTTCTTCTCCAAACTCTTGATCTTGCTCACCATCTTGTCCATGGACTTTTGCATCTTTTCCATGGCTTTCCCTTGCCACTTGTTGAACCTTTGGAGAAGTCCAATTCTCTTGTGGGCTGCCACAACAGAGGGGTTCATCCTTGGAGCCTCATACTCCTCAAAATCGTAGCACTCAGGCTCACCCAAATCCGCATTCTCCTGGACTCGATCTTCAGCTTGAGACTCAGCTCGATCCTCAACTCAAACAGGGGTTAGTAAAGATGAAATGGTGCAATCACAATCAATCAATTCCTCTTAACCATCATAGTCATGAAGTATAAGAGGTTATCAATCCAAAATGGGAAACTTGTCACTCTTTGAGAATATGAAAACAAGAAAGTCAAGCAAGCAGTAATAGATTTGAAGTAACACTAACAACCTAAAAAATGAAATGCAGTGCAATAAAAGTAAAAAGCAGTGAAGTGCAGCTCGACCAAGACTCGAGTCGAGTCAGACAAAGTACCAGCTCGATCGAGTTTAGGGACGAGTTGAGACAAACAAAGCTAAAGGTGACGACTTTAACAAGATAAGAGAGAATTAGGGTTCAAGACAGGGTTTTGCAATCAAAGGAATCTACACTTAATCAATCTAGCTCTTAAAACTCCTTGTATCAAGGCTTCTCTTGATATTGGGCTTCTCAATGCCTAGCCAACCCTTTCCCAAGGTGAGGCTATCAACCAAGGAATGATCTCAGAAACAGGGGGTTAGCCAGTGAGAATCAAACCTTGGAGGCTATAGGATCATTGCCCAAACTAATCCATCCAACCCCTTAGACCTCTATTTCTAGAGCAAGAGATATTGGAGCTCTTAGTGGATCTTTTCCAGCGAATGCCATCACTTTCGTGTGGGGATCGCCTAAGGACTTACAAGCCAGGGGTAGTGGTCATGTAGCCTTAAGATCTATCCAAAAGAGAGAGAATCTAGATTAAGACCATAAGCTAGAAGGATTAAGCATATGAAACCTCTAATCTATCCCATCTCAAACCCCAATGGGTAACTACTCACTACACATGAATGTAAACACAAGCAAATGCAATAAAAGAGACATCATAAGAAAGAGGAGATGAAATTAAACAACTTTTATTGAAATAAGCAAGTGCAAATACAAAGAAGATTAATCCAGGATCTAAGATTCAAGAAGCAAGAGCTTCAAGAACACAAAGATGGATTAGATTCTAAAAAGTAAAAGACAATAAATTAAAAGAAAGCTAAAACAAAATAATCTAAAGCTTGGTGGTTTTTTCGTGGCTTAGAGCCTTTAAATACAAGAGGATTAGGTTTAGGGTCAAAGGAAAGTCAAGGGGGAAGCAACATTTTTCGGGTTTGACTTTGACTTCTCAGCTCGATCGAGTTGAAGCTTGGCCGGTCGAGTTGAGGAACTCGACCGGTTGGTCGAGTAGACGGTCGAGCTGGTCTTCAAGATGGCTTCTCCCTTCTTCCTTTGCGTATCCAGTTGAGCTGCTTCCATGTGCCAAGTCCCTCCATGCTCCTCATGTCCCATATGCTCCAGAATGCTCCAAAAGACCTATTTCAAAGGACCAAACATGCATATGTATGCAAATGCAACCTAAAACTAACATGAATGCATAAGAAGAGAAAAGGAACAAGATATGATGCAAATGGAAGCTAAAACTATGCAAAAGATGCATAAAAGATGTGCTAAAACTATGTAAAATGCAAGTACATCAACACCCCCAAACTTGAACTTTGCTTGCCCTCAAGCAAACAAATAGAACAAGAAAGGAGATGAGGTTTGAAAACGAGCTGATTCAACACTTAAAAACATGTCCTCAAAAGCGATTTGCTAAATGTCCAACTTAGAGATTCTAGAATGCAACAAGGTGAGAGATATTCATTAAGATTTAACCATGCTTATCAACATCAATCCCACTTCACAGTCACTCAAACAATGCATTCAAATCAGCAAATCCCTTTAACATTCATTAAGCAAAAACAGTGAACCAAAAACATGCAAGATCAATCAACTCATTTGGTTTCAAGGGTTTATGGGTTAAGAGACAAAGAGGGTCTCTTTTGTATGGTGGTTTAGTAACAGGGATCTCTCAAGAAAGTGGCTTTGCTTTGGCAGAAGGCTAAGTGTTAGAACCAAAGATGATGCAAGAACAGCAGCTCGAGCCGTCTAATCCTAACTCGATCGAGTTCAACACTTAGAGCTTTTTAGAACAAAATCCTAACTACCCTTTTTGGCATTTCGCCTTTGAAACTGAGGAGCTTTGCTCACTTTTCTTTTAAGAACATCCTAGGGAGAGGCTTCTTGAGGTAACATCTAGCGGTTTGGGATTTTCTAAACACTTAGGGAACTTTTCTTCCTTTTTGGACACTTGAGGCTTTGCCTTCTTTTCATTCTACTTAGAACCCTTTTTTACTTCCCTTTTTTAACTTCCCAAACCTTTACTAGACCCTTTTTAACACTGCCAACTCCCTGGACTTAACCAAACTCTTTTTCCTTTGGGTTTTTCCCAACTTTTACCACTTTTCTGGTTTTTACACCCAACTCGATCGAGCTCGAGTTGGCACCCCCAAACTTAGCCTGAAAACAATCCCAAGAGAACTAGACAACTAGAACTACTGCCCCTGCCGGTTTAAACACAACACCTTATGCTAAGCAAAGCCAAGAAAGGTTCTCACATTCGCACAAGAGATAATATGGGGTTTGAAATGAAAAGGCTTAGGTTCAAGGTGTGGTAACTGTCTCAAAGATAGAGATCAGCTATCTGGACAAGCAAAAGGGATATGAAAATAGGTAAAGAATGTCCAGATATGTATGTGGTAGCCATGAGTTGAAATCAAATGCAAGCATTGGTAATTAAAGATCAAGTTATGGTTCATATAAATAGGGAAATGCATCAAATCACAGCAATGGTTGAATGAGATGTGCATGCAGTGATATGATCAAGATAAACATGGTTCTTGTTGCTCAATCAATCTCACCCTAATGCACAAAGAATCTAAAAACAGGGCACTCAAGAAATCGCAAAAGATGGACAAGTTTTCAAATCAAATCAACAATGCAAGTGAAAAATGCAATCCTAAACAAGTCTAAGCAAATATGAATGCAAAAAGATGAAAATATTTTTGGATTTTTTGAAAATTTTATGATTTTTTTTTTTTTCTATGCAAAAGATAAATGAAAAACTAAGAACAAAGAAAACAAGGTTAAATCATCTCTTGAACCCTCCCCCAAACTTAAATCACACAGTCCCTTGTGTGAGAAAAATTTAGTGAAAGATTCAAGAGGGCAAAACCAAGAAAAAACAAGAACAAATGCAAGAAAATATGAAATGGTATATACAAGGGTTGGTGTTTGGATACCTCAGTGCCCCCCAAAGAACTGGGAGACTAGGTCGTGGTCTGGAGATGGTAGATGGCCATCAGGACACTCCACTCGACTGGGTTCGGCTCACTCGATCGAGCTTGAGGCTCCTCTTCTTCCTCTTCTTCATCGTTGAAATGTGTGTGGCTACCTTGGCCTTGGAGGAGCTGCGCTTGCTCGAAGCAGTTGTAGGGAGTCCAGAGAGTCTGAGAGAAGTCCTGGTACTGCGTTGAATCGTACTCGAACCCAGGTTCTCAAACAGGGGCTCCTCCAGGTCAACTCGACCCTCAGCTCGGTCGAGCTCGCTGATCGAGTTGGAGCGTCGAGTTTTGGAACTCTTCCTCCTCCTCTGCGAGTTGTCTTCTCCTTCCCTTGGCTCGAATGATGAGGCCCTGTGAGGCTCGTGGGCAGGGAGCCTTCTTGGAGTGGTGAGGAGAGATTTACTCCTTGGTGGGAGTCTTGGACTTCTTCTTCTTGCTTGAAGAACCAGAGACTTTCTTCTCCAAACTCTTGATCTTGCTCACCATCTTGTCCATGGACTTTTGCATCTTTTCCATGGCTTTCCCTTGCCACTTGTTGAACCTTTGGAGAAGTCCAATTCTCTTGTGGGCTGCCACAACAGAGGGGTTCATCCTTGGAGCCTCATACTCCTCAAAATCGTAGCACTCAGGCTCACCCAAATCCGCATTCTCCTGGACTCGATCTTCAGCTTGAGACTCAGCTCGATCCTCAACTCAAACAGGGGTTAGTAAAGATGAAATGGTGCAATCACAATCAATCAATTCCTCTTAACCATCATAGTCAATGTAGTACAAGAGGTTATCAATCCAAAATGGGAAACTTGTCACTCTTTGAGAATATGAAACAACAAGAAAGTCAAGCAAGCAGTAATAGATTTGAAGTAACACTAACAACCTAAATAAATGAAATGCAATGCAATGAAAGTAAACAAGCAGTGAAGTAGCAGCTCGACCAAGACTCGAGTCGAGTCAGAACAAAGTACCAGCTCGATCGAGTTTAGGGACGAGTTGAGACAAACAAAGCTAAAGGTGACGACTTTAACAAGATAAGCGAGAATTAGGGTTCAAGACAGGGTTTTGCAATCAGAGGAACTACACTTAATCATCAGCTCTTAAAACTCCTTGTATCAAGGCTTCTCTTGATATTGGGCTTCTCAATGCCTACCAACCCTTTCCCAAGGTGAAGGTTATCAACCAAGGAATGATCTCAGAAACAGGGGGTTAGCCAGTGAGAATCAAACCTTGGAGGCTATAGGATCATTGCCCAAACTAATCCATCCAACCCCTTAGACCTCTATTTTCTAGAGCAAGAGATATTGGAGCTCTTAGTGGATCTTTTCCAGCGAATGCCATCACTTTCGTGTGGGGAATCGCCTAAGGACTTACAAGCCAGGGGTAGTGGTCATGTAGCCTTAAGATCTATCCAAAAGAGAGAGAATCTAGATTAAGACCATAAGCTAGAAGGATTAAGCATATGAAACCTCTAATCTATCCCATCTCAAACCCCAATGGGTAACTACTCACTACACATGAATGTAAACACAAGCAAATGCAATAAAAGAGACATCATAAGAAAGAGGAGATGAAATTAAACAACTTTTATTGAAATAAGCAAGTGCAAATACAAAGAAGATTATCCAGGATCTAAGATTCAAGAAGCAAGAGCTTCAAGAACACAAAGATGGATTAGAGTTCTAAAAAGTAAAAGACAATAAATTAAAAGAAAGCTAAAACAAAATAATCTAAAGCTTGGTGGTTTTTTCGTGGCTTAGAGCCTTTAAATACAAAGAGGATTAGGTTTAGGGTCAAAGGAAAGTCAAGGGGGAAGCAACATTTTTCGGGTTTGACTGTTGACTTCTCAGCTCGATCGAGTTGAAGCTTGGCCGGTCGAGTTGAGGAACTCGACCGGTTGGTCGAGTAGACGGTCGAGCTGGTCTTCAAGATGGCTTCTCCCTTCTTCCTTTGCGTATCCAGTTGAGCTGCGTCCATGTGCCAAGTCCCTCCATGCTCCTCATGTCCCATATGCTCCAGAATGCTCCAAAAGACCTATTTCAAAGGACCAAACATGCATATGTATGCAAATGCAACCTAAAACTAACATGAATGCATAAGAAGAGAAAAGGAACAAGATATGATGCAAATGGAAGCTAAAACTATGCAAAAGATGCATAAAAGATGTGCTAAAACTATGTAAAATGCAAGTACATCAACACCCCCAAACTTGAACTTTGCTTGCCCTCAAGCAAACAAATAGAACAAGAAGGGATGAGGTTTGAAAACGAGCTGATTCAACACTTAAAAACATGTCCTCAAAAGCGATTTGCTAAATGTCCAACTTAGAGATTCTAGAATGCAACAAGGTGAGAGATATTCATTAAGATTTAACCATGCTTATCAACATCAATCCCACTTCACAGTCACTCAAACAATGCATTCAAATCAGCAAATCCCTTTAACATTCATTAAGCAAAAACAGTGAACCAAAAACATGCAAGATCAATCAACTCATTTGGTTTCAAGGGTTTATGGGTTAAGAGACAAAGAGGGTCTCTTTTGTATGGTGGTTTAGTAACAGGGATCTCTCAAGAAAGTGGCTTTGCTTTGGCAGAAGGCTAAGTGTTAGAACCAAAGATGATGCAAGAACAGCAGCTCGAGCCGTCTAATCCTAACTCGATCGAGTTCAACACTTAGAGCTTTTTAGAACAAAATCCTAACTACCCTTTTTGGCATTTCGCCTTTGAAACTGAGGAGCTTTGCTCACTTTTCTTTTAAGAACTTCCTAGGGAGAGGCTTCTTGAGGTAACATCTAGCGGTTTGGGATTTTCTAAACACTTAGGGAACTTTTCTTTCCTTTTTGGACACTTGAGGCTTTGCCTTCTTTTCATTCTACTTAGAACCCTTTTTTACTTCCCTTTTTTAACTTCCCAAACCTTTACTAGACCCTTTTTAACACTGCCAACTCCCTGGACTTAACCAAACTCTTTTTCCTTTGGGTTTTTCCCAACTTTTACCACTTTTCTGGTTTTTACACCCAACTCGATCGAGCTCGAGTTGGCACCCCCAAACTTAGCCTGAAAACAATCCCAAGAGAACTAGACAACTAGAACTACTGCCCCTGCCGGTTTAAACACAACACCTTATGCTAAGCAAAGCCAAGAAAGGTTCTCACATTCGCACAAGAGATAATATGGGGTTTGAAATGAAAAGGCTTAGGTTCAAGGTGTGGTAACTGTCTCAAGGATAGAGATCAGCTATCTGGACAAGCAAAAGGGATATGAAAATAGGTAAAGAATGTCCAGATATGTATGTGGTAGCCATGAGTTGAAATCAAATGCAAGCATTGGTAATTAAAGATCAAGTTATGGTTCATATAAATAGGGAAATGCATCAAATCACAGCAATGGTTGAATGAGATGTGCATGCAGTGATATGATCAAGATAAACATGGTTCTTGTTGCTCAATCAATCTCACCCTAATGCACAAGAGAATCTAAAAACAGGGCACTCAAGAAATCGCAAAAGATGGACAAGTTTTCAAAGTCAAATCAACAATGCAAGTGAAAAATGCAATCCTAAACAAGTCTAGCAAATATGAATGCAAAAAGATGAAAATATTTTTGGATTTTTTGAAAATTTTATGATTTTTTTGGTTTTTCTATGCAAAAGATAAATGAAAAACTAAGAACAAAGAAAACAAGGTTAAATCATCTCTTGAACCCTCCCCCAAACTTAAATCACACAGTCCCTTGTGTGAGAAAAATTTAGTGAAAGATTCAAGAGGGCAAAACCAAGAAAAAACGAGAACAAATGCAAGAAAATATGAAATGGTATATACAAGGGTTGGTGTTTGGATACCTCAGTGCCCCCCAAAGAACTGGGAGACTAGGTCGTGGTCTGGGGATGGTAGACGGCCATCAGGAACACTCCACTCGACTGGGTTCGGCTCACTCGATCGAGCTTGAGGCTCCTCTTCTCCTCTTCTTCATCGTTGAAATGTGTGTGGCTACCTTGGCCTTGGAGGAGCTGCGCTTGCTCGAAGCAGTTGTAGGGAGTCCAGAGAGTCTGAGAGAAGTCCTGGTACTGCGTTGAATCGTACTCGAACCCAAGGTTCTCAAACAGGGGCTCCTCCAGGTCAACTCGACCCTCAGCTCGGTCGAGCTCGCTGATCGAGTTGGAGCGTCGAGTTTTGGAACTCTTCCTCCTCCTCTGCGAGTTGTCTTCTCCTTCCCTTGGCTCGAATGATGAGGCCCTGTGAGGCTCGTGGGCAGGGAGCCTTCTTGGAGTGGTGAGGAGAGATTTACTCCTTGGTGGGAGTCTTGGACTTCTTCTTCTTGCTTGAAGAACCAGAGACTTTCTTCTCCAAACTCTTGATCTTGCTCACCATCTTGTCCATGGACTTTTGCATCTTTTCCATGGCTTTCCCTTGCCACTTGTTGAACCTTTGGAGAAGTCCAATTCTCTTGTGGGCTGCCACAACAGAGGGGTGCATCCTTGGAGCCTCATACTCCTCAAAATCGTAGCACTCAGGCTCACCCAAATCCGCATTCTCCTGGACTCGATCTTCAGCTTGAGACTCAGCTCGATCCTCAACTCAAACAGGGGTTAGTAAAGATGAAATGGTGCAATCACAATCAGTCAATTCCTCTTAACCATCATAGTCAATGTAGTACAAGAGGTTATCAATCCAAAATGGGAAAACTTGTCACTCTTTGAGAATATGAAACCACAAGAAAGTCAAGCAAGCAGTAATAGATTTGAAGTAACACTAACAACCTAAATAAATTGAAATGCAATGCAATGAAAGTAAACAGAGCAGTGAAGTAGCAGCTCGACCAAGAACTCGAGTCGAGTCAGAACAAAGTACCAGCTTGATCGAGTTTAGGGACCAGTTGAGACAAACAAAGCTAAAGGTGACGACTTTAACAAGATAATGCGAGTATTAGGGTCTAAGACAGGGTTCTACAATCAGAGGAAACTACACTTAATCCATCCAGCTCTTAAAACTCCTTGTATCAAGGCTTCTCTTGATATTAGGCTTCTCAATGCCTAACCAACCCTTTCCCAAGGTGAAGGTTATCAACCAAGGAATGATCTCAGAAACAGGGGGTCAGCCAGTGAGAATCAAACCTTGGAGGCTAAAGGATCATTGCCCAAACTAATCCATCCAACCCCTTAGACCTCTATTTTCTAGAGCAAGAGATATTGGAGCTCTTAGTGGATCTTTTCCAGCAATTGCCATCACTTTCGTGTGGGGAATCGCCTAAGGACTTACAAGCCAGGGGTAGTGGTCATGTAGCCTTAAGATCTATCCAGAAGAGAGAGAATCTAGATTA